CTCACTACATACCTACAGAATGAATGAATACAAGGTGACCGAGGAGAGACGCAGGCCACTCCAGGCTGGTAGGCGGCAGGTTTAACCAGCAAGGGCAGCTTGGACACAAGGCTTGTCGTGGGCGGCAGCAAGAGGAGGGGTCCCCGCCCCTGCCCGCCACACCTTGAAAGTTTTTATAAACTTTTATAAACAGAGACCTTAACTGGATTTAGTCACCTAATCTGTGCAGGTGTGCTCAACACCCCGTCACCATCTCAGGGCGAGGTCCTCAGAGCAGCTTCTGGCAGCAGGAAAGGCAGTGCTCATTCCCACATTGCAGGGACAAGAAGGGGGGGCAGCCGGGGCGCCTGGGTGGCTTAGTCGGTTAAGCGTCCGACTTTCGCTTAGGTCATGATCTCGCAGTTCGTGGGCTCAAGCCCCGCGTCGGGCTCTGTGCTGACTGCCAGCTCAGAGCCTGGAGCCTGTTTCAGAGTCTGTGTCTCCCTCTCTCTGACCCTCCCCTGCTCACGCTGTCTCTCTCTCCTAGAAATAAATAAAAATATTAAAAAAAAAAAAAAAAAAAAGAAGGGGGGCAGCCTCGTCACCTAGGCCCGGCGCATGGGTCCAGTAGGGGTCGTGTCTTCTCGGTGGCCTTCCCCACGTGAGGACCCTTGAGTTCTTGTCACAGAAGTGTTGTTTCCCTTAAAAGAGTAATGCATGACAGGCACCCCAATGTTTATAGAGCAGCATTATCTACAATAGCCAAGATATGGAAGCGCCCCAAGTGTCCATCGATAGATGAATGGATGAAGAAGATGTGGCGTACACTTGCAATGGAGTATTACTCAGACATAAAAAGAATGAAATCTTGCCATTTGTAATGGCATGGATGGAGCTAGAGACTATTATGCTAAGTGAAATAGTCATTCAGAGAAAGACAAATACCATGTGACTTTACTCCTGTGGAATTAAAGAAGCAAAACAAACAAGCATGGCAGGGGAGGGGGGGGCGGGAAGAGAGAGAGGCAAACCAAGAAACAGACTTTTAACTCCAGAGAACAAACTGACAGTTACTAGAGGGGAGGTGGGTGGGGACGGGTGACATAGGTCATGGGGGTTAAGTGCACTTGAGAGGAGCCCCAGGTGAGGTGTGGAAATGTTGAATTGCTAGGTTAGACACCTGAAGCTAATATAAACACTGTATGTTAAGTGGCATTAAAGTAAACAGTTAAAAAAAAATGTGGGAAAGGAAAAAAAAATGCATGTTTGTTAGAGACTAAAGGTAAAGAGATTCCCCGTATTGCCGGCCATCCAAAGAAAACCATTGTCAAGATGCTGATATATTTTCTTTTGATCTATCTAATAAAATTGGCATTTCTGTTTTGCTCTTTAAGACACTGCTTTTATTCTGCTGTGGATGATACGTCTTCGGGAAAAGATACTTCGTGGTACTTTAAGGTTAGGTCTGTAGAAGAAAAAGGAGAACGCTATGTGGGATTCTCACCTGTTCTTCCTCATTTTAAGTATGAATTGCATATCGTGCCTAATAAGTTTCTTTTAAAATACTTCTCTTCCTTAAAATTCAGTGCCTTTCCCCCCAAGTCCACTCCCCCTCCTCGGCGTGACAGCGTTGGAGCCCGCGTTTCTGGCCAAGCCCCTGCCTCGCACGGCAGCCTGGTCTGGGCTGAACCTCTTCTTCCGCGGCCTTCACCTTGTACCGGGCCCTCGGTTCCCTCTGCCAGCGCATTTTAAACTTGCGTGTTTAAAACCGCTGAACTTAGGTTTAACCACGTAACACATTTAAAACCATTTAAACTTACACATTTAAAACCAAACTACCGGGCCGGCCCAGTAGTTCGGCCACCACCTCGTCTCTGACTCTCCCTCCTTCTGGACTTTTCTGGATGGAACCCAGTTGATGGCCCTCCATTCTCCAGCCTTGCTCCCCAGGCCCTTCTCAGTCCACCTTGGCCTCGTTTCTGTGGCCCCCACTCAGCTGAAACCACTCCCCCCGGAGTCCCCAGAGGCCACCTGGTGTTAAAGCCAAAGGGTTTTCCCCGCCCCCGTGTACTTGACCTTCCAGTGCCCGCCTCGTCTGGCTTCTTTCTCTCCCCTTTGCTTCTGTAGCCCCAGAACCTCCCGGATTTCGGCCTGCCCCCACCTGCTGCCTCCCCGTTTTCTCCTCACGCGTTTCATTCCTCCATTCCCGTCCCGTGCTGTCTTCTCGCCTCGTCCCATCTTTTCTCCGTCACCGTGCGTCCCTGCGCATCCGACCCGTCCCGTGACTTCCCGCGCCATTGATGCACGTGCCCCAGCAACTCCCCGCGTTGCCTCCAGCGCTGCGGGACCGTGAGACCCCGCACCCCGCCGCCCGCTGAGCAGCTCTCCTCAGCCCGCAGACGCTCTCCCCGCAGCCCGCTCCTCCGAGGCCGAGGCCGAGGTGTCCATCCGTTCCTGGGGGCTCCGCCCCATCGCTGTCGCACGCACCGGCGCCCCCTGCTGACCGGCGCGCGTCTCCGCAGCCTCTGCACCCGCCACTCGGGGTTGTGGGTGCCGTGAGGGCCTCCTTGCCCCTCCCTCCGCCCCTGCATGCCTCTGCGGCCCCCGTCCCCTCGCCCCCTTTCCCCGCCAGCCCCTCCTCCCGCACACACTTCCTGCAGGAGGCCCTCTCCCACCCGCCCCTAGCCGGGGGGACTGCCAGTGTGTGTGCCACCGGCCCGTGGGTGCCGGGCAGCCCCATCTACACGTGACACCAGGGCGGCCCAGAATGACTCGCCTTCTCCTCTAGACTGTGCGCCGGGACGCCGGCCCTTTCCCCGTGGGGTCCTCCGACCCGTGACCGGGACACTGACGAGTGTGAGAGGAGGGGACAGCCCCTTCCCTCTGGCTCTCACGGTGCCCGCAGCGGCCCAGGGTGCTCGGCTGGGTGGCCTGCGGGCGGCCCTTCAAGGAGCATAAACCCCGGAGGTGCTCGGGTTCGCGTGAAAAGCTGAAAATGAGCAGGTCTATTAGGAGCCTGTTTTGCAAATACCGTTCGACAGGAACTGATGTCTCTGCATATGAGCCTTTAAAAACACGTATCATAAAATAATTTTAGGAAAATAAACTACAGAGCTACTCATCAAAGCTTATTGCTACGTAAATGTTTTAACCATGTTAAAACGACTTCCTACTTGAACTAACATTGTCTAATAAATGGCAATGATTTTAATTCATGAGGGTTATGAACACTCATACGGCAGCTGTGGGCGCCGAGGTCTGTGGCAGCCTCGCTCGGTTGCCTGGTAACGGGTCCTGGCTCCCAGGGGAGGGCTGACACATCCTACAGGCACCCTGGATCCCAGGGAAGACCTTGGCGAGGTCTTTTTTCTCACCTGCTCCCTCCAAGACTCCACAGAGGAGAAAACCGGTACAGATTTGCTAGGAGAAGCGAAGGAGCCCAATGACTGGCTCTGGCAGTTTGAGGACACACCATTTCTGGAAACCGTGGAAGGCTCCTTTCCGTCTGCTCATTTGTTTATTTCTTGTCTAGAATTTCTACTCAAGAGGTTAAGTCTTTTTTTTTTTTTTTTATGAAGAGGTTAAGGCTTCTATAAAAAATTATATGTCAGTGCTCCAATGGAATGAAATAATGACACAGTATGCCTTTTTGAATTATTTATTGATTCTTTGTAGATTTTATCCAGGTTCCTGTTAAATTAATTAGTTCGGAATTACAACAGATGATGTCATCTGGCCCATGCTGTGTTACCTACCCGTCCTCAGTAGATACTTAGGCAGTACCTTCCAACGTCTTCCTTGGTCACTGTGGCCCCACTGCGAAGGCGGCCTGGCCCCGGCCCACCCCACACCTCTCATTTATACCCAGAGTGCCTGGCCTGCGCCGGGGCTCTGCCCGTTTTCAGGTCTTCAGATTGAATTACTGCTTCTCCTGGCATGACGCTGATTTCCTTCATTATTTTGTGCTGCTCCCAGGAGCCAGCCACATGGTACTCATCTTTCATCCTCCTTTTGAAAATATCCCAGTAAGGAATTCATTTAATGTTTCAGCTGTCTTCTTTTTCTGTCAATAATTCAATGCAACATTTCTTAGATGCTGCTCCGTTTCCTTCACTGATTTCTGAAATGCCTTTTAATTATTTCTTACCTTTAAAAATCTTTTCACAGCTTTTAATATTTAGTAATTCATGCTGTCATCAAAGAGGCACCTCTTTTCTTTTGATCGTCGAGACTTCTGTGCGTGTTGATGCTGGGTCACAAGATGATTCTTGAATTGGAGAAGCATCAGTGGGGTCGAGACTGTGCGTCAGAAGAGCAGGTGTACCAAGGGAAGCAGTCCTGGTGGCTTATGGCGCAATTGCCAACCTTGTATGATCATACAGAGAACCTTCCTGTGATATCGCTGTGGAAGGGCTCTGAGCTTCCCGTGTTACAATGGACACACTCTACATTTCTGTACACCTGGCCACAGTATAAGGAGTCAGCAGCATAAGGCACTACGTTACAGTCAATCAGTTCATCAATATTTATTGATTATCATTTCATGAAGGAAACTGCACCAGGCACCTTTGGGGATGAAGAGGATTCGAGGCCCCTGGTGTTTAAGATGTCTGTACATTTAGCTCGGCTCGGGGCCAAGACTCGAGTGAGTCGGCCGGTGTCGTATGCTAAGATGCATGCGGAATTTAGACACAGGTAGAAAAATGTTTATGAAAGACTTTTCAGGATAAGTTTCATTTTCCTGTAAAGCACTGAAAGTACCATATGGTGTCAATTTAAGGGAATGACGGATTTTAGAAGAAGAAAGCAAAGGAAGACACTGGTTAATGTGTGGGCCACAATGGGGGGGGGGGGGCTTAAATATAACTCCTGGGCCTGCTTGATCTCTGATACGTCGCAAGCCAGTAATCCGAAATTACCCAGGATCCCTGAGGAGACTCACAGATTGCTTAGTTACTGCCTTGTTTCATTGCACGGTGGTCTCATGTCCCGTATCAACACATGCTCTTTCTCATTTTCAGCACGCACTCCTGGCTTTAAAGTTTATGCTGGCGTTCGCCATACCTGACAAACCGCGGCACATCCAGATGAAACTGGCCCGATTGGAATTTGAATCTCTGGAGGCCCTCAAGCAGCAGGTAAAGGCAACTGTCCTGAAAATCAAAGCATTTCCTTAGCAGGTGCGGGGGGCCGTAATATAGAGGGCGCGCTCTCAGCGTTTCCTTCAGCCCTTGACATTGCTAGCTTCAGTAAATACAGAAGACTGCAGTGGAGGACGGCATAACAAAACCAAACTCCCAATAATATGAACAACAAATAGGTTCAGAGCACTAAACGAGGCAAAGCAAAAATATGCAAGTGAGGTTAATGAATGGAGCTAGCGTGCAGCGAAAGAACGAGACCGGGATTTCCAAGGCTCGCCCCGGGGCAGCCCCCGCCATTTGTACATCTGCCTTCTGCAGAAGCCTTAAACAAGGAGAAGGGAGTAAACACAATCTTGCATAATATCTTGCAGAGAGTGAGGGGGAACGAGAAAGGGTGGGCAAAAGCATCAAAAAAGGCCCTGGAAGCAGCGACTTCTTCCTGGCGATTTCCATATTCTCCTCGAGACAATGCTGAAAGACTTCGTCTTGACTTTCCTGTCGTAGCAGAGTGCAAGGAGGAAGACAGATTCCCACGTGCCCAGGCCGGCTCTCTCCAACCATACGTACCAGTTAAACCAGTGAGGAAATGAATAAGGCAGCGTATCTGAGACGACAGACTCTAGGTCCAGGACCCGGCTTCTGACCCTCACAGTCCGTTCGGCTTCTGAGCCACCTTATCCAGGAATTGGTTTTTTGTTTTGTTTTTTTTTTTTTTTATGCCTGGGGAGCTGGGAGGAAAAAAATTGAAAGGAGGACCCACCCAAGCTGACGCTCTGATAGAAGCAAGGGCTCCACAATAGCGCATGAGGTGGGAGTCCCCACCCTGGAGCAGAATGTGCCTCCGATTAGGCGGACTGTCCCCAGAGTAAGACTTGTGATGGGAGGGCAGAGAAGAGGGAGAAGCGTGCATCCACCAGCTGGATGCAGCTGGGAGGAGACTGGATTCTGCGGTTTCCTAGGTGGGGGGCAAGGTCACCTAGCCAGGGTGCTTGTACCCTGAACGCCGGGAATTATGCTCAGCGGTGAGATGCCAGAAGCACTCACAGCAGCGCCAGGAAGCCCACTACCACCTCTGATACTTGGCTTTGTTCTGGGGTGCTGACCAGTGCGGTTCTAAAAAGAGGAAGAAGGAAGAAGGCCCAGTGACCAGAAGAGGCAAGTGTATCATTACTGGAAGATTATAAGGTTATCTATCTAAAAAGTACAAGATAGATTATTGGAAACAAATGGGAAAACTTGGTAAGGTTACAAGCCTTATCTAAAATGATCTGTTTCCTTTCCCAAGAAATAATAGCCATTTGAAAATATTATTGAAGAAAAATTCTCATTTACTGAAGAAGCCAAAATATAAAACCTTTAGGTAGTAATTGATATAAGCAATATGGATAATCTATATGAAGAATATTTCTAAAACTCTGCTGGGACCAAAAGATTCAATCTCGTGAAAGTTTGATGCCAATTCAAATATATAGAAATAAACATTTAAGGATAGCAAGGAGATTTCTGAGAAACAGACAAAAAATGAGGCCTCTAGCCCTGCCAGAGCCTAAAATGTATTCTGAATAACACAATAGTTACAGTAATTAAATCCATTTTGAATTAGGGAGGAAATAGATCAGCGGAATACAGAGTCTGTAAATGGACCCAGATAAAACTGGGACTTTAGTTTATGGTGAAATTAACATTCTATGGTAGTGGGGAAAAAAGAAGGATTGTTGTTACATGGTCTGATGACAAACAGTTGTTTGGGGAAATTATTACAGTTTATTTTACCTCATTCCTTACATACCTCTTGCCACTACCCTCCTGCAAAATTTAGATGCTTAAGAGATATAAAAAGTATGACAGTTTAAAACTTCTAGATGATGAAGAAATGAGAGACAAAACTCAACAGATAAACTAGACAAATGGGGGAAATACTTGCAACATATGAAGAGATGGTTCATATTTTTAATTTAAAAAGAATGTTGATAAATCCATTTAAAAAGACAACCCAGCAATCAAAGCATAGCATAGGAGGGGGAACTCAGCCTCACTCACAGTAAGAGAAACCTGAGGTACCCCAGCAGTGAAATACCACGTTTTACACATTCCGTTGGCAGACGTTGGTTGATGATCCGTTCTCGGCTGATATGGGGAAGGGGGCACTTTTATGTACTCGACAGAAATGTGAGTTGGCTGAGCCTTTCTAGAATGCAGTTGAATCAAATTTAGATCACCCTCCAACCAGAATGACTTGCTAGGTTAGCAGTTAGAACCGCAGGGTGGACCAAACGACAGCCGTCATAGCATCTCCGTCAGCAGGAGCCCTGAGACAGCTGTTGGAGACAGGTGAAAATAATTGCAGTGCGCTGATGGCCCCACGTGAAAAAGTTCTGTGAACCTGCTTTTTAAAAAGATCTCTTTGTGCTGGAGGGGGTGTGGGTGTGCACGCATGTGTGTGCATGGGTGAGTATTTGCTGTTTTCTTAAGTGGAGAAAGCGAAATAGAGAACAACTTTGAGTTCACTTTTGAAGACAAGAAATGGACAAATGCAGAGATGTGGTTTTGGGGAACGGCTCCCAGGAAACCCTGAATAGCAGTTACCTTTGAGGAAGGGTTAAGAGTCCTCTTTTCACATACCATTTGAATTTCCTGACCATGCACATGTATGACTTTTTTAAGGTCAACAGGAATTCTTTGGGAGGGGGGATTATTTTCCATTTGTTTACCTGCATGCTTTTCTGCATTTAAAACACTAAGTAAATAAGGAATAACACATGTAAGTAAATAAGGAATAAACCCTCCCTCATGCTGGTGGTTTGAACAATTAGATTCCCTAAGGCCATTTTCAGACTCATCTGAGTGCATCCTTCTCTCATTCTTCTTCCTCCTTCCTTGTTCTTTTTACAGTCATATGTGTTGGGTGTTTTTTTAGGTAAAAAAAATGTAAATATCAAGTGAAATTTTTGGAGTAAAATGTATTTTCACATGAAGTGTATTTTACATGAAGTTTGGGGGCACGAATCAGGTGTGGAAACCCAGAGGCAATGCGAGGCGCAGTGGGATCTCTCTGTGAAGTCCTCAGTGAACCTCACGTGAGGTCAGGGTGAGACCAAGGCTGAGGGCGGGAGCCCCCCTCTACTTCAGAGTCCTTGTCAGCTCCCATTAAAAGAGAGGCTGAGGGGTGCCTGGGGGCTCAGTAGGTTAGGCGTCCAACTTCGGCTCAGGTCATGATCTCGTGGTTCGGGAATTCGAGCCCTGCGTCGGGCTCTGTGCTGACAGCTCGAAACCTGGAGCAGCTTCAGATTCTGTGTCTCCCTCTCTCTCTGCCCCTCTCCAGGGTGAGAGCCCCCCCCCGGATGAGAGAGAACCTTACAAAATGGAGGAGTCAGGGGCTAAACTGCATTCCGTAAAGGCACCCCACTCTCCCACCCACCAAAGCCAAATCCATCTCCTTCAAAGGTGCATTTCCAAAATGTGTCCAGGAATTTATGTCCAATAATTGCTTATCAATATGTGTATTCCACTTATGCGATTTTTATCATTTATGCACCAGTAATAATTGTAATGAGCAGTGGTCCAGAAGAAAATTTTAAACACTGAAAATGAGATATAATTATAGTCGTGGAAAATTTTTTAAACTTTTAAATTTCTGTTTATGAGCATGTGATTAAAGTATGACCATGACTGATCCTGTCAGGCCAAAAAAAATTATTAGTATAAAATTCTTTGGGAAAAATGGCAAGAAAATATGATTTCAAGGAGGAGAAAAAAAGGAAAAACACAAAATTGTTGCTATTAATGAAGAGAGTATCCATCTACTTTTTAAATAGGTGATGGTGGATATCACATCCCTGTGGTATTTCACAGAATTTCTTGAACATCTTTAAAAGAGTGAAGTAGGGGCACCTGGATGGTTCAGTCGGTTAAGTGTCTGACTTCAGCTCAGGTCATGATCTTGCGGTTTGTGGGTTCGAGCCCCATGTCAGTCTCTGTGCTGCCAGCTCAGAGCCTGGAGCCCGTTTCGGATCCTGTGTCTCCCTCTCTCTCTGACCCTCCCCTACTCATGCTGTTTCTCTCAGAAATAAATTTTTTAAAAATTTAAAAAAAGTAAAAGAGTGAGATAATAGTTTATTTTGAATATTCAGACTATGATAATATGTAATATTTACAGTAAGCTAGAAAATACATTTTCATAACTACTTAATTTTTAAAAATTTTTTAAAAATGTTTTCTTTATTTCTGAGAGAGAGAGAGAGGCAGCATGAACAGGGGAGGGTCAGAGAGAGAGAGGGAGATACAGAATCCAAAACAGGCTCCAGGCTCTGAGCTAGCTGTCAGCACAAAGCCCAATGCAGGGCTCGAACCCAGAAACCGTGAGATCATGACCTGAGCCAAAGTTGGACACTTAACGGACTGAGCCACCCAGGTGCCCCCATAACTACTTAATTTATGGTGAAGCTTTTAAATGTTTTATTTTAAAGTTTATTTATTTTGAGAGAAAGAGAGAGAGCATGCGTGGGGTGGGGGAGGGGGTGTGCAGGCAGAGAGAGAAAAGGAGAGAGAGAATCCCAGGCAGGCTCCACACTGGTAGTGCGGAGCCCAGCAGGGGCTTGAACTCATGAACCGTGAGATCATGACCTGAGCTGAAACCAAGAGTCAGATGCTTCACTAAGGGCCCCTATGGTGAAGATTTTAGATGTCAGCATAAAATTGTGTGGGAGGGAACACAGCACCCAGACATTTCAAGGGTATGTAAGCAAAGACATGTTTCACTTGTATAGCATCGTCTCAGGAAGAGTTTTGGTAAATCAGGTTTCTGCATCGATCACGTTTCTGGCAAGGTTCCATAGATTGGGGCAGGCAACTCCCTGGCCACCTGGACGCACCTGAATTCCACGTCAAGGTGAGATCCTGCTCCATGTGAGTAAGGCTTTCCTCTCGCTCAGAGTGCCACATTGTCATGTATTTGTCGGGAAAGCGAAGGGTCTGTAATGATGTTGGATATTAAC